TTTTTATGCAGAAACGATCCATTCGATGCAGAATCGATCCATTTTTATGCAGAATCGATCCATTCGATGCAGAATCGATCCATTTTTATGCAGAATCGATCCATTCGATGCAGAATCGATCCATTTTTATGCAGAATCGATCCATTCGATGCAGAAGCGATCCATTTTTATGCAGAAACGATCCATTCGATGCAGAATCGATCCATTTTTATGCAGAATCGATCCATTCGATGCAGAATTTTACGCTGATTCCGAATCTGCTCCGAAATCCGAATCTTTTGCTAAATAGGTCGGAATCGCAAGGAATTTGGTGGGTCGTCACTCATCGATCGATCGATCGGTCCGCAGTAAGGTCCAGCCAATTTCTGAGTTCATCCATCGGGACTTCGCAGGAGTCAGTGCCTCAGAATCGATCGATCCACTTTCCTTCGCTTCTCCAAAGTCGGAGTCGGTCGATTCTCCTCTTCCGTTTGATCCTATTGTTGCCTGTCTTGAATCTGTGAAACCATTCCTATGCAGCACTCGTTCCGACGATTTTTTCCCCATAAAATTCATTGATTTCTCGTGCTGAATTGATTGATTTCAGCGGTTGGCCGCTAAAATCCCTCTTAAAAATCGTTGAAGCAGTAAGGCGAAGCAGTAAAGCGTGGTTTTCTTCTCGAGTTGGCTTCATTCGATCAACTGCAACTCTCTTCTCGTGTCGATTCCTAAAAAATGAATGTTAGTGCAAGAAAGAAGAAATTTTAAGCATAAAAAAAAAAAAAAGATAAATACAAATGTTTTGAGGATTGATTGGGGTAGGTTAGTTTCCGCAATTTTTTTTGCGCAACAGGGTCACTTGCGCAACTGGATCATTTGCGCAACTCGCCATAACTTTCTTCTCAGTGGACCAATCTTTATGATTTTGGTGTCATTTTGTAGATCTCAATAAGTGTAACAAAATGACACCAAAATCATAAAGATTGACCCACTTAGAAAAAAGTTATGGCGAGTTGCGCAAACGACCCTGTTGCGCAAAAAAAATTGCGGAAACTAGCCTACCCCTATTGATTAAAATAAAGATATCTGGGTTTTTATGGGACAACCTAAAAACCTCGCCAACAATCGGAGTAAACTTGGGTTCCCGACTCGATGTGTTCAATCATCGCTTCCAATAGGGTACTAATCAAAAAAATCTCTGGACTATGGGACAATCTAATAATATACATGTTATTTGAAAGCTTGAAGTCTCCTTTCTATGGTCTATGTTCTCTCTACGGCTTCTCTATGGTTCCTTTTGTCTACAAATTTAGTTCCTTTTCTCTACAAATCTAGTTCCTTTCATATAAAATTTTGGTTCCTTGGGGGTGGGACAAATGCGACCTTTTTTTTTGCGCACCTGGACATTTGCGCACCTTTTTTTTGCCGGAAAAGGCCTTAGCTTCAAAGCTGCAAAGCAAGATCGTAGAGCTTCAAAAATGTTTTCCTATAAGGGAATCGTATGCGTAGATTCCGAATTTCGACAAATCAGACCTCGCTGACACGTCAAATTTGGGCTAAAAGGCAAAAGCTACGCAACTTAACGCTTTTCCGCAGTTTTTGCCTTTTAGCCCAAATTTGACGTGTCAGCGAGGTCTGATTTGTCGAAATTCGGAATCTACGCATACGATTCCCTTATAGGAAAACATTTTTGAAGCTCTACGATCTTGCTTTGCAGCTTTGAAGCTAAGGCCTTTTCCAGCAAAAAAAAGGTGCGAAAATGTCCAGGTGCGCAAAAAAAAGGTCGCATTTGTCCTTTTGTCTACAAATTTGGTTCCTTATCTCTCTAAATTTGGTTCCTTTTGTCTATGGCCAGTCACGACATGGCTTGGCTAAAGCCGGCTAATCAGAGGCAAAAGCCGGCTAATCAGAGGCAAAAGCCGGCTAATCAGAGGCAAAAGCCGGCTAATCAGAGGCAAAAGCCGGCTAATCAGAGGCTAAAGCCGGCTAATCAGAGGCTAAAGCCGGCTAATCAGAGGCTAAAGCCGGCTAATCAGAGGCTAAAGCCGGCTAATCAGAGGCTAAAGCCGGCTAATCAGAGGCTAAAGCCGGCTAATCAGAGGCTAAAGCCGGCTAATCAGAGGCTAAAGCACACCCCTTGTGCCAAGGTTGGCTTCAATTTTCGCACAAGTTATTCGAATGTTCGAATTCATCATAAGTTATTCGAATTCGAAAGCTTTTGTTTATTTTTCTGCAAATAGCATAAAATGTTTGACTTGGGCGAAAAATTCGCGTAACTTTGAGGGCGAAAGTGATAAACATTGGGCAGAAAAAGCTGTTATCAGTTTTCGCCTGATTTTCCGCCTTTTTTTCCATTAGAAAACACACTTTCAAGGCTGAATTTGATTCATTTTTTTTTGGCTAATTTTTGGCACAAAATTTTCAAAATTATTATTTCTTATTCGACTTTCTTAAATTATTGTTTCTTATGTACAAAGTACAGTTATGTACTTTGTACATACTTTGACTTAAAACTTGTTTACTTGTACGTTAAATGTGTACTTAGAAATGTCCTGTAGCTGTTTCTTGGACATATCCCTGGCCCAGAATAGCTTGGCAGGTCAGGTCGGGGTCCAGGGCTTGCTTTGTACTTAGAGATGTTCTGCACTGTTGCCTAGGGCTTGCTTTGTACTTAGAGATGTTTTGGACTGTTGTTCTGCACTGCCTGAGCCCTATTTTACTTAAGCCAGGCCTGGCAGGTATTCAGTATAAACTAACACTGACCTGGCTTGGCCTCGACTAACAATTAGACACTGAGCCGAGCTGGTTTAGCCGGTGCATTAGCCTAACTATCAGTTAGAACCAAGCTGGCAATCTTGGGTCTAGTTTGGTTTAGTTCTGAGCAAGTTCTGATAGCCTGGCTTTGACCTATTTTCTACTTAACTGGCCTCAACGTCTGCCTAAACTTGGCTTCTACTCAAGATTCGATCCGTCTATTCAAAAGTCACCTGGGTTGACAAATCTGGCCTCAATGTCTGCTTAAACTTGGCTAGAACTAGTCAGGCTTAAGCTTGGCTAGAACTGGTCAGGCTAAGACTGGGCTAGAACTGGTCAGGCTTAGGCTGGGCTAGAACTGGTCAGGCTTAGGCTGGGCTAGAACTAGTCAGGCTTAAGCTTGGCTAGAACTGGTCAGGCTTAGGCTGGGCTAGAACTGGTCAGGCTTAAGCTTGGCTAGAACTGGTCAGGCTAAGACTGGGCTAGAACTGGTCAGGCTTAAGCTTGGCTAGAACTAGTCAGGCTTAAGCTTGGCTAGAACTAGTCAGGCTTAAGCTTGGCTAGAACTAGTCAGGCTTAAGCTTGGCTAGAACTGGTCAGGCTTAAACTTGGCTAGAACTAGTCAGGCTTAAGCTTGGCTAGAACTAGTCAGGCTTAAGCTTGGCTAGAACTAGTCAGGCTTAAGCTTGGCTAGAACTGGTCAGGCTTAAGCTTGGCTAGAACTCAGGCTTAAGCTTGGCTGGAACTAGTCAGGCTTAAGCTTGGCTAGAACTGGTCAGGCTTAAGCTTGGCTAGAACTGGTCAGGCTAAGACTGGGCTAGAACTGGTCAGGCTTAAGCTTGGCTAGAACTAGTCAGGCTTAAGCTTGGCTAGAACTAGTCAGGCTTAGGCTATATTAGGCAAACCCAGACTCAGATCTCAGACCTGCCCCTAGTCTTATAATCAACCCTAGCCTGGATAGCCTTAGTACATAGAACTGGCCTTGCTTAGAGTAAAAGGGTAAAATGGACAGGTAAAATCTTTCACAATCATTGTCTCAAAAATCCATTCAGATATTTCGTTTCCCTAGACTCTTAATAACATTTTGGTATATATCATGAGATCTCGAGGAGATTTGGCTAATCTCGAGGAGTAACAATACTTACCGTATTTTCTCTAATAGTAGTGCACCCTGAGCGTCGCCTAAATTGCTCGAAATCTCGAGAACCGCTTATCAGAACCTATCGATATCGGAAAATGTAGCTGACGATAAGATCTAGTGGGTGATTAGAGTGTTGAGCTTCTGCAGCTTCTGCAAAAGCTTTGAAACCGTAAAATCGTCATCAACTCGGCTCGCCGGGGTGCACTACTATTAGAGTAACAATATTAGAGTAACACGCACAAAGTCATACCCATACCTCGAAGTATACCCATGAACCAAACGTCGGGTTAAAGTGCCTAAGTGTCCACTCATGAGATCCCATGAAAGGCGTTAGTTGATATAGACAGCAGGACGGTGGCCATGGAAGTCGGTACCCGCTAAGGAGTGTGTAACAACTCACCGAATCAACTGCCGAATCAACTAGCCCTGAAAATGGATGGCGCTTGAGCGGACCACTTATACCCGCCCGTTGCCGACTTGAGCGCAATGCCCGCCTGGTCGCAAAAGAGGAGCTTTTTGAGGCTTTCTGGAGCTTTTTAAAGCTTTCTGGAGCTTTTTAAAGCTTTCTGGAGCTTTTTAAAGCTTTCTGGAGCTTTTTGAAGCTTTCTGGAGCTTTTTGAGGCTTTCTGGAGCTTTTTGAGGCTTTCTGGAGCTTTTTGAGGCTTTCTGGAGCTTTTTGAGGCTTTCTGGAGCTTCAAGAGGTCTTCGCCTTCCTTCAAGAGGGTGGCGGTGGTTTGCGTTGAAGGCTTTGGGCGTGGGTCCAGTTGGAGCTTCCATCGGTGCAGATCTTGGTGGTAGTAGCAAATATTCAAGCGAGATCCTTGAAGACTGAAGTGGGGAAGGGTTCGAGGTAGACCCATACCCGACCGTTGCCGACTTGAGCGCAATGCCCGCCTGGTCCTCGAGGTAGACCCATACCTCGAGGTAAATTTGGTTCCTTATCTCTCTAAATTTGGTTCCTTATCTCTCTAAATTTATTTGGCTCCTTATCTCTATAAATTTAATTCCTTATCTCTCCAAATTTGGTTCCTTATCTCTCTAAATTTGGTTCCTTATCTCTAAATTTGGTTCCTTGAATACCTCGAGGTATGCCCATGCGGTCACCCTGTACAAGTTGTCTTCAGAAATGAGCGACCGACTGAGGGATGGCCAAGAGAAAGCGTATCAAATAAAAATCGATGCGACAAGCGGCACAAATGACAAGTTTATAGGATTAAAAATCTATTTAAATGTCAAATTTTCAGCTACTCATTAAACGGTCAAGGGATCGCCTTTCAGTGCTTTAAAGAGAAGAATATCGAGGAGAAAAAGCAGCTGGCGGGTGGCGGATTCGCGAACACTTATGTGTGTCGTTTTAAAAATTCGAGGTAATTTTTGAATAAATTTATTAACTGAATTTATTAACTGAATAATCTATTAACCCAAAAATCGATAAGAAAAAAACTTTATTCCAAAAGATTTTCGCTTTTTCGCTTTTCGCTTTTCGCTTCAACTAAGCTTTTCCATTTGTCTTGCATAGACTTTTTTGATCAGTCTTGCATAGACTTTTTTGATCAGTCTTCGCACTTAGGGGTTTGGTACAAATTTGGTTCCTTTTGTCTTAGGTGTTCCTATTTTGGCGCAGAGCACAGCCTGCTTTCTCCGCCTGCACAGCCTGCTTTCTCTGCCTGCACAGCCTGCTTTCTCTGCCTACACAGCCTGCTTTCTCCGCCTGCACAGCCTGCTTTCTCTGCCTGCACAGCCTGCTTTCTCTGCCTACACAGCCTGCTTTCTCCGCCTGCACAGCCTGCTTTCTCTGCCTGCACAGCCTGCTTTCTCTGCCTACACAGCCTGCTTTCTCCGCCTGCACAGCCTGCTTTCTCTGCCTGCACAGCCTGCTTTCTCTGCCTGCACAGCCTGCTTTCTCTGCCTACACAGCCTGCTTTCTCTGCCTGCACAGCCTGCTTTCTCTGCCTGCACAGCCTGCTTCCACATTTCTCTATCCCTATTGTCAGCCAGTGTTTCCTATCTTGGTTGTTCCTGGTTCGAAGTCTTCGACTTGCTTGTGCTGGTGCTTGCTTGCTTGCTTATGTTGGTGCTTGCTTGCTTGTGCTGGTGCATGCTTTCTTGTACTGGTGGTGGTTGCACTCTAGCCATCCTTTCTCTGACCATTTCTGCCACTCTTGTGCTCACCCATCGGAAGACCTCGTTGCTGGTCTTCCGATGGGCCTCTTCTGGTCTCGTGGTAGCCACTCTGTGATCCGTCTCGTCCATACCTAAAACGAAAAATTCGAGGCCCCTTCTAGGCCCCTTCAAGGCCCCTTCGAAGCCCCCAAAGTAGTCTTGCGCCCAAATTTCGACTTCTTCACGATTGTTAAACTTTTGATTTACAAGAGAGTGTTGCATAGACCGAAACACAATTCGTAATCTGACTAAGGAATTTTGTTAACTTATCATGGCTTTTGACTAGCCTATCTGAAGCTCTGGCTTTCAAAATCGACCTCTGAAACCTTAACGCTTCAGATTCCTCGTCGTTCTCAAGGAACCGAAACGAAGCGATTCGCATGATCACTGTGAAATGATGAGGAATGAGTACAGGAAACATTTGTATGCCGGCGCGGCACATCAGAATATTGTCAGGGTGAGTGAGAATAGGGGAATTGGATGAGTGAAACGATTATCTTGCAGGCACTCGGCAAGATGGAGTACGAGGATGGGAAGAATCTCGGAATGGTATTGGAGTACGTGCCGGAGGGGACAATGGAGAATGGTGAGGAAATGGGGAGCTTTGCTTCTGGGTCTAGTGCTGGCTCTGGCCTAACCCTGGTTTCACCCAGTACAGTGTTCTATCCATCTTGTTCCCTTGATTCTGGCCTAGGGCCAGATATTCTAGATCTTCATCTGAACCTGTGCTATGTAAATGTAAATTTGTAAATTCTGAGTCTGGCCTTGACCTGGTCTGTGCCTGGCCTTGACCTAGCCTTGACCTAGCCTTGACCTAGCGTTGACCTAGCCTTGACCTGGCCTAGATAGCCTCTAGTCTAGAGTCTAGAGTCTAGAGGTCTAGAGAGCCAGAGCTTGACAAGAGCCAGGGCTTGACAAGAGCCAGGGCTTGACAAGAGCCAGGGCTTGACAAGAGCCAGGGCTTGACAAGAGCCAGGGCTTGACAAGAGCCAGGGCTTGACAAGAGCCAGGGCTTGACAAGAGCCAGGGCTTGACAAGAGCCAGGGCTTGACAAGAGCCAGGGCTTGACAAGAGCCAGGGCTTGACAAGAGCCAGGGCTTGACAAGAGCCAGGGCTTGACAAGAGCCAGGGCTTGACAAGAGCCAGGGCTTGACAAGAGCCAGGGCTTGACAAGAGCCAGGGCTTGACAAGAGCCAGGGCTTAGTCTGACAAAGCTGAACCTAGATCAATCCTGTTCTAGACCAGGTTAATGTCAGAGCTTGAGTCAAGCGATCCTTATCTAGCCAAGCTTACTATTAGGTTTATTAGACAGTTTACGATAAAGATCAAGAACGATAAAGATTTTAAAAAAATGAGGATTTCCAGTGATCTCATTGTGGGACGGGAAAAAGACGCGCATCTGCATCTACTCCGTTCATCACATCATCGCGTGGATGAACGATATCGTGTCCGCGCTGGTGTACATGCATTCGAATGAGCTGGCACATTTGGATTTAACGGCGAACAAGTGGGTGGCACAAAGATTGGTCTAGCAAACGGTCTAGAGGTCTAGCAAACGGTCTAGCTCTCCAGGGCTGGGGTCTAGCCTGAGACAGGCTTAGTCGGGACCTGAACTTGCCTTGATCCTGGCAAGGGACCTGAACTTGCCTAGATCCTATTTTACCATGAAATCCCATCAATTCCAGTATTCTGATGCCGGACAATTGGCGGAAAGCGATCATCGCCGATTTCGGCATATCAAAATTGCGCGGTAGGCGGTATCCGATGGAGAAAAGTGGAAAGCACAATCATCACACCGAATGTCCTAGTGATTATGCGGCGCCGGAGGTTTCTTTGGGCATCAAACTTCAAATGCGAAATTCCAGGTGAAAAACGGCAATGGTGAATACAAGAGTGATGTCTACAGTTTGGCGATACTCCTCTGGAAACTCGTTTACCGGCAGCACAGGTTTAATTTCATCGCTTTTATCTTTTAATTTATCTCTCCTCTGTACTTCTTGTCTTTTTTTTGACTTTTGCCAAACCCAGGTCTGACCTAGCCAAACCCAGGTCTGACCTAGCCAGACCCAGGTCTGACCTAGCCAAACCCAGGTGTGACCTAGCCAAACCCAGGTCTGACCTAGCCAAACCCAGGTCTGACCTAGCCAAACCCAGGTCTGTCCTAGCCAAACCCAGGTCTGACCTAGCCAAACCCAGGTCTGACCTAGCCAAACCCAGGTCTGATCTAGCCAAACCCAGGTCTGACCTAGCCAGACCTAGCCAGACCTAGCCAAACCCAGGTCTGACCTAACCAGACCTAGCCAGACCTAACCAGACCTAGCCAGACCTATCCAGACCTAGCCAGACCTAACCAGACCTAGCCAGACCTAGCCAGACCTAGCCAAACCCAGGTCTGACCTATCCAGACCTAGCCAGACCTAGCCAGACCTAGCCAGACCTAGCCTGATAGTATATTCAGGGCTTTCCCACCGGAACGTCTCAATCCACTGAATCGTCCGGAGTGTCCGGATCTGATTCCAGAACTGGAGAGTATCCTGAAAAAGTACGGTATTCAGATTTCAGATAATATCTAATATCCAACTTATAGCTGCTGGGCTCATGATCCGAAAAATCGTTGGACTTCCGGAGTACTCTATCAAAAAGTTCATGATTTTATGGAAAACCTCTTTCCGGATACGAATGACAAACCGAGAAATGAGATAGTTCGTTATCTAGTTATTTATAAGATCAGTTATCTAGATTCATCTAGATACTGGATACTGTAGAGATTTAAAATCTTGTTACAAATATGCTATCTTTTCTCATCTCATCTTCCAGATCGATCGCTTCGATTTGAAAGCACCCGAGTGGAGATCCGATTACATTGACGCTGATCCGAGGGGTTTGTCTACAGATTAAAACTGGATAAACGATAGAGATAGAATAGAAGAGATGGAAGATAGAAGAGATAGAATGGAAGGGATAGAATAGAAGGGATAGAATAGAAGGGATAGAATAGAAGGGATAGAATAGAAGGGATAGAATAGAAGGGATAGAATAGAAGAGATAGAAGATAGAAGGGATAGAATAGAAGGGATAGAAGATAGAAGGGATAGAATAGAAGGGATAGAATAGAAGAGATAGAATAGAAGGGATAGAATAGAAGAGATAGAAGATAGAAGGGATAGAATAGAAGGGATAGAATAGAAGGGATAGAATAGAAGGGATAGAATAGAAGGGATAGAAGATAGAAGGGATAGAATAGAAGGGATAGAAGATAGAAGGGATAGAATAGAAGGGATAGAATAGAAGAGATAGAATAGAAGAGATAGAATAGAAGGGATAGAATAGAAGGGATAGAAGATAGAAGGGATAGAATAGGAGGGATAGAATACTAGAGAGAGAACAAGTTTGAGTTGAGCCTGGTTCGTTCGATCTAGTACTGGCTTGAGACTGAACCGGGTTTTGGTTTGGTTCAAGCTTTTACTGCTCTTGTTCTGTCTAATAGTCCAGGTTTAGTCAGTCTAACTAGTCTACTGTCCAACTAGTCTACAAGTCTGTCTACTAGTCTACTAGTCTACCGTCTACTAGTCTACTGTCTAACTAGTCTACTGTCTATTAGTCTACTATCTAACTAGTCTACTAGTCTACTAGTCTACCAGTCTACTATCTAACTAGTCTGCTAGTCCACCGTCTACTAGTCTACTAGTTTACTAGCTAACTAGTCTACTGTCTACTGTCTACTAGTCTCCTAGTCTCCCAGTCTACGGTCTACTAGTCTCCTAGTCTCCTAGTCTACTAGTCTACCAGTCTACCAGTCGACTAGTCTACCGTCTACTAGTCTCCTAGTCTACTAGTCTACTAGTCTACTGTCTACTAGTCTGATCTAGCCCAATACTTGAACATCTCTAGACTCTCTAGACTCTCTAGACTCTCTAGACTTGACTCATTGCTAGGACAAACTTGAATCAAGACAAAAATCAGTTCTAGGCTAGTCTCCTAGTGCTGGCCCATCTGACCATGTTTCATTCTTTTAAACAATTTTTCAGGTACTCGCAAATCGCATAAAATCCACCCGCGTGAGAACAGCTATGCGCCGAGAAGAGAAGAGCAAAGATTCGAGATAAGACCGGAGTACCTTCTACAACAATACCAACAGCGAAACGATCAGGATGATACCAACACTTATCAATCCTGGGTAGGATTTCTAGAAACGTTTAGCCATGTTTTGCCAATGGTGATTTTAGAAAGGAGACAAAAGAGCGGCGAATTTCCCCTCAAATTCCTCGATTTCGGTGTCGCGAAGCGATAGCTCGATCGCGTGAGTTACTTACATTTAGTAGAGCCAGAAACTGGTTAAAGCTGGTGGCCTAACCCTAGTGAGGTTGTTTTGACCGGGGTTAGGCCTGGCTAGGTCTGGCTAGGTCTGGCTAAGTCTGGCTAGGTCTGGCTAGGTCTGGCTAGGTCTGGCTAAGTCTGGCTAGGTCTGGCTAGGTCTGGCTAGGCCTGGCTAGGTCTGGCCAGGTCTGGCTAGGTCTGGCTAGGCCTGGCTAGGTCTGGCCAGGTCTGGCTAGGTCTGGCTAGGCCTGGCTAGGTCTGGCCAGGTCTGGCTAGGTCTGGCTAGGTCTGGCTAGGTCTGGTTAATTCAATAAATCTAATTCTAATTCAATTCCCAGCACCTCATCCTCATCCTCAACCAATTTCTCTCAAATGATGTCAAGTAGCGAAAGTGAGATGAGTGGAATGTCAAGTTATGGAGAAGAAGAGGAAGAAGGGGAAGAAGGAGAGGAAGAGGAAGAAGAGGATGATGAGACGATTGGATCGAGTGAAGAGATAACAGAAGAAGAAGATGGAAAAGAAGAGGAGATGAGGAGGATGAACGGGGGAGAGAAGAGGAATCTGGTGGGTGATTGGAATTGGGTACTGTAAGCTAGCTTTAGTCCATCATCCCTTAGTCCATTAGTCCGTACCGTAAACCGTAGCTCGACTAGTCGCTATTAGAGTAAACGCCCCGTAAAGACTACTTAGCAACAATTAACATAAATAATGACATTAGACCGATGATAGAATTTGAGTCGGTTGCACGACTACGGTAGCTGGCGCAATCCAACTTTAAGCTTACATATCTTGGTGTTGGGCTGTCCAATTTCAATAATTTTTCTACCAATTGATAGAGAAAGACTTGGCGCATCTAATCTAATCTAAATAGGGGCGGGACGCGTATAAAAGGTGGGACACACACGCCCCGCCCTTTTTCCATGATCAATCTAGCTTTAAGCTTACATATCTTGGCGTTCGGCTGTCCAATTTCAATGTTCTTGGTATCATTAGATGCGCCAAGTCTTTCTCTATCGATTGGTAGTAAAATTATTTCAATTGGACAGCCGAACGCCAAGATATGTAAGGTTAAAGCTATTAGGTTGGTGCAAAAGAAATTTCGGTCGATATAAAATGTTCTTATTTTTTTAATCTGAAGAGCTTATTTGATGTTCTTTTGTGCATTTGTACTCTTGGATATTTACTTTATTTTCGCATTTTTTCAAAGTCAGAGCTTTCGCTTTTTAATTGATTTTTGCTTTAGATCATGGTGGATCAAAAGTATGTTCTGCGCACGTGTCTTCTCTATGACTTCAAAATGGGCAAAAACGCTGCTGATTCACATCGTGATCTCTGTTCCGCCTTTGGAGAACAGGTTATCACCGAAAGATCATGCCAGCTCTGGTTTGCCCAATTCCGAGATGGTAATGAATCCCTTGAAGACGAATCGCATGGACATCGTGCCACAGCCATCGACAACAATGAATTGAAGCTGATCCAATGCAAACAACACGAGAACTTGCCAAACATCTCCAATTCAACAATTGTACGCCATTTGGAAATAATTGGAAAGACAAATCGTAATGGACAATGGGTTCCACATCAATTGAGTGTTGAGAATCTGGGAGCACGCGTTCCGATCAGCCATATCTTGCTCCAGAAGTCAAAAAGAAGCCATTTTTTTGAGAATATCTTGACGATGGATGAGAAGTGGATTCACTTTGATAATACTTCTCGAAAAAGACAATGGCTGAGCAAAGGTCAAGCGCCAATTCCAACTCCAAAGCCGGATTATCATGGGCGCAAAGTGATGTTGTCTTGCTGGTGGAATATCAATGGACTTGTTCATTTTGAATTATTAGAGCCCGGAAAAACAGTCGATTCATCTTATTTTATTCAACAACTCAAGAAGGTTGACGAAATTTTGCGTGAAAAAGGCCTAAATCCCTCAACTATCAACTTTCTCCGTGATAATGCTCCAGCTCACACGGCAAAAACCTCTTGCAAGGAACTAGAGAAGCTAGGATGGAAGGTCTTACCACATGCGCCGTATAGTCCAGACTTAGCACCCTCCGATTTTCACCTTTTCAGATCGATGCAACATTCCCTTGAGAATTGCCAGTTTAAGAATGCAAAAGAAGTCGAAAATTGGGTGACCAACTACTTTGCATCACAGAATCAAGCGTTCTTTGAGAAGGGGATCCGCAATCTGTAGCAACGTTGGAGGGATGTCATAGATAATAATGGTGCTTATTGTTTTAAATAAATTGTTATCAAAAAAAATTTTGGATGACTTTAATGTTTGTAAAAAAACGAAATTTCATTTGCACCAACCTAGTAGTTTGCTATTGGCAAAGTGACGAGGCGCGTATAAAAGGTCTTCCTGGCGCCGGTTTTCTATAGTTTTTCTACCAATTGATAGAGAAAGACTTGGCGGATCTAATGATACCAAGAAGATTTAAATTGGACAGCCGAACGCCAAGATATGTAAGGTTAAAGTTAGATTGCCAATGGCGAAGGGCTTGGCCCTGTTCGATAGGGGCGGGGCTTGGCCCTGTCCGATAGGGGCGGGGCTTGGCCCTGTCCGATAGGGGCGGGGCTTGGCCCTGTCCGATAGGGGCGGGGCTTGGCCCTGTCCGATAGGGGCGGGGCTTGGCCCTGTCCGATAGGGGCGGGGCTTGGCCTCTCTTTAAACATCGAGTAAATTGAATACCTTTACATTTGAAGGGAATTAGCCACCAAATCATTTGAACAATTGAGTTCCTTGAAAATAAAGCCGTATATAAGGCGGCGCTCGTGATTCTTTTGGTGACGATGGCTAGCAGTTCCTACCGCAGTTCCTACTGCAGTAGGAGCCTAGCAGTTCCTACCGCCTACGAAACAGTGCTATGCACAGTGTGAAAAGGGTTAATTTCATACTTTTTTCTTTCAGAAACTCCCAAATCTCCTCAACGAACAATACTATTTGCGAGCATTTCCAATCTTACCCCAAAAAACCCCCACGAATCCGGTAATTGTTCGAAAATGTTCTTTCTTTTTTAAAAGCTCTTTAGCTCGTCGAGTTCACTGTGCAGCACGTAAACGATCTAGCGTTAAATATCGCGGCGATTGGGTAAGATTTCAAATTTTCGATTTTGAAAGGAAGAAAGTTGTCGAATCGGAAGATCGCAAAAAAAAAAATAAAGCGCTCGCACCAAGTTTTCTCAAATTTCTTGAAGGATCCTTTCAAGTATGGCAAGAAAAAGTCTCCGGGACGTCATTTATCAAAAAAAGATCAAAAAGATCTTCAGCAACGTTCGCGGTATCTATTTGTCGTTGTTGACGGGGATGAATGAACGGAAAAGTGAGCACGACTCGTATTTGACGAGAATCTTCAAGCCCGATCGGCAGAAAGAGGTGGGAAATGTTGCGAGGAGTTGAAGAGTTGCTGGCAGGCTGGCATTTGTCGGCTTGTCAGCTGGATCTGATTCGGATCTGATCCGGATCTGTCGGCCTGTCAGCTGGATCTGATCCGGATCTGTCGGCCTGTCAGCTGGATCTGATCCGGATCTGTCGGCCTGTCGGCTGGATCTGATCCGGATCTGTCGGCCTGTCAGCTGGATCTGATTAGGATCTGATCCGGATCTGTCGGCCTGTCGGCTGGATCTGATCCGGATCTGTCGGCCTGTCAGCTGGATCTGATCCGGATCTGTCGGCCTGTCAGCTGGATCTGATCCGGATCTGTCGGCCTGTCGGCTGGATCTGATTCGGATCTGATCCGGATCTGTCGGCCTGTCAGCTGGATCTGATCCGGATCTGTCGGCCTGTCAGCTGGATCTGATTCAGTTCTGATCCGGACCTAGTTAGCTAGCCCCTGGACCATTTAAAATCTTATTTACCTTGGTCAGATGCAGGGACAAGTCTAGGCTAAGCCTTGTTAGCATATCCCGCACCAAATCCCATTGCCAGAGTGATTTTTGGGCTCACGGAAGAAGATCTTTCTTAAATATATCGAGATCTTGAACTAGTGTCGAGATGTCGAACTAGCATGCCTTGCATTAATCCTGCCGTTGTGATTGTGAGACGTTTGATCTGCGCTGTCCCTTTGTCATCAGCAATCTAGTTTGCTAATGGGAAAAGGGGCGGGGCCAGGAAGACCTTTTATACGCGCCTCGTCGCTTTCCCATTAGCAATCTAACTTTAAGCTTAAATATCTTGGCTTTGAATTGTTCAATTTAAATAATTTTTCTACTAATCGATAGAGAAAGCCTTGGCGCATCTAATGAAACCAAAAATATTTAAATTAGTCAGCCCAACACCGAGGAATTTGAGCTTAAAGTTAGATTGCTGGGAAAAGAGGCAGGGCGCGTATCAAATGGCCGATAACCGGAGCTTGTAGTGTCAAGACGTTGACTTTGTTGACGTTGACTAGCTCGAGTATTTTAAATCAATCAAATTCCAAGGTTTTCCTTCACATGATGAAATGGAACGCGAAACGGGATCTCCTTGCCGCTTTATACGAGTACAAGGAGTGCAAGAGATTTCAATTGGTCACAGCGAGAGTCAATTTCAGTGAGTTGAAAAGATCGTTGGGTTCAAAAACACCAGAACGCGTGTGTTTTCAAGATTTAAGCACAGAGCACAAATTTTAGGACCCGAGCAACGTGACAATCAGAAGAAACTGCTTCGCAAGGGTGGTTTCCGCTTCGAGGTA